TACACACACACACACACACACACACACACACACACACACACATATATATATATATATATATATATATATATATAATATTTTATATATATATATATATATATATATATTATATATATGTGTGTGTTTTTTTTTAAGAAGTCTTTTATGCTCACCAGGGCTATATTTATTTGATCAAAAATACAGTAAGATGTAATATTGTGAAATATTATTACAATTTAAAATAACTTTTCTATTTTATTTTAAAATATAATGTGATGCAAAGCTGAATTTTCAGCATCATTACTTCAGTCTTCAGTGTCACATGATCCTTCAGCAATCATCCTAAAAATGTTTGCTGCTCATGAAATATTATCAATGTTGAAAGCATTTGTGCTGCTTAATATTTGTATGCATTTTTTCAGAATTTTTTTGAAGTTCAGAAGAAAATAATTTGTGAAATAGAAATATTTAGTAACATTATAAATATCTTTACTGTCACTTTTGATCAATTTAATGCATCCTTGCTTAAGTATTAATTTCAATCAATCAATCGACCCCATACTTGTGATCATTAGTGTATTTTCACCTATATTTACCTGTATTTACATTTTTTCTTTCATATGTTTGTTTGTTTCAGATTCAAATTGCATACACTGTTTCCAGAGAATCACAGAATTAAAATAAAGAGTTAAAAAAATTTTTTTTTAAATAATTAAATAAAATTCTCAAATGCTTCATTAGATGGTAGGACATTTTTGCTCTGTGTTGACTGAAACTGCAGCAGTACTTTTTCATTTTGTCTTGTGTAGGACACATTCTGGCATAGATTTGTATGTGACACCATGTTTCCCATTGCTCACACGTGTAAATAACAAAGCAGTTCTGCCATCTGATAACCACACAGATATATTTATACTGACTGAACTGCATATACAGTCATACCGTTCAACCGTGTTGTTAACAGTCATCCATTCTGTCAGCGCACATGCCGGATACAGTAAGAATTACTTTAGCCTGCTAATCAATCAGCGAGATCCAGAGAAGCAGACACGCTTCTCTGGGCTGCTGTCACGGAGTTCATTTATCATTACAGTCAAGACTCTCACTATCTCAGGATGGCCTACTCCACATCTTCTGCTACTGCTGATCTTATGCTTTGTCTAATAGAGCACTGTTTGACATGTGAAACTGAAGAATATATCCTCCAGTTGACACAAAATTAGGACACCGAGAGAGATCCCATCCCATCTGATCCCATACACTGACGAATAAAAGCTCTGTCATGTGACTTCTGCCCTGAACTCTTGTGTGTCCATCATCTGCATTCATTCTCAGTTCTATACCTGTCTGTGCATTTGTTAGGAGTGGACATGAGCTCTTTGCACCAGATGAAGACCCAGCGCTCATCCACCATGTTGTCTGACGTGAGGCAGCTGGTCAGCAGCGGGGGGAGCGTCAATCAACAGAATGATGACGGGGTCACGCTGGTGAGAAAATACATGAAGCTCAAAATGTGTAACCGTTCTGATCTCTAAATATGACACAGTCTGTGTAATGTGTACAGATGGTGATTTGAATGGGATGGCTTTTGGCCAAATTAAACCTCACATGTGAAGTGTTTGTCTGTGTTTGCAGCTACACATCGCCAGTGCCAGTGGTTATAAGGAGGTGGTGTCTCTGCTGCTGGAGAACGGGGCAGACGTCCAGGTGTCTGACAACAACTACTGGACACCCTTACATCTGGCTGCCAAATATGGGCAGGTACATATCATTTCCTGATGGACACTGACTTTTGAAATCACAGTCAAATATGGACTGAACCAATGCTTTGCAACTTTAGGCACATGATTGATGGTATTTTCTTCTTGCCAAACCTCTCTTAGTGATAATTTAATTTCATCTGTTATTATATTTTGTTTTGCACTGCAAATTAATATAATGCATTTGCATGCCAAACTGTCTTTTGCAGTAATTCTTCCTTTAATTAAAGATAAACATAAAATGAATGCAAATGACATTTAATTTGTAGAGCTATACAAATTAATAAACAGATCTATAAATTAACTTAAAAATATTTAAAGTAAAAAGTAAAAAAAAAAATGTATATGCCAAGCTGTCTCTTGCAGTAATTCCGTCTTTAAAGATATAAATAAAATACATTCATATTACATTAATTCATAGTGTCATACAAATAAACAAATGTTTAAATTTATTTTAGTAGAGTAAATAAATGCATATTATAATAATTTGAAGTGCTACACAAACACATGCATACTATAAAAATAATTGTATTTATTTATTTATTTGCTTATTTTTTTTTTATTTCTATTGCACTTGGTGTCAAAAAGGTTGCTGACCCCTGGACATAACAAATGTTCTGGCTAATTTGAATTTGCATGAGTGTAATGCACTATATTTCCTGTGCTTTTGTGTTAAGCCCTTTTATCAGATTGCTGTTCACGGTCAGTGGAATGTATTGACATTAGAGTTATCGTAGACCAAATACAGTTCATTAATTCACCCTCCCTTCCTGTTTTTGATTAATGAGACTTCAGCATTGCATTGATCTTACCAATTCTCTGCCAGATGCACTCGAGCCTTGAGGATCATATGAAGTACTAATGTGTTTTATATGAGTTGAATAACAGCGCTTGTGCTAGAGGAGATTGATTTCTAGAGGAAAGGACGAACCTGCTGACATGGTCAAACATTTGATAATGTTTCAGGTTGCTAATGAAGAGAATTCCTTCTTTCTTCTCCTTTGTTCTTTTTGTCCCTCAGGATACGCTTGCCTACATACACACCATTCTGTTTTCCTTTTTCCTCCCCTCTTTCTTTTGTGAGGTTAAGGTTTTTGTTAGCACATTTGGAGCCCAGTGCATGGTTTAGATTATCTCTCCATTTCTTATACATTTTCTACTAACATGATGCTGGTGCTGGAGCCTCAACTTCAGAGCCCCTAAGGGGACATGGTTATAGAAAAATTAAAAAGAGAGATACGTACGAATCGTTGCAGTTTGCAGTTGGAATTAAAACAAGAGGCAGTAAAACTCCTACAGCTTTTATTTCTTTCCACAAAATTATGATTTACAGGGCTAGAGTTTTGATTAGGAGACCCTAATTTCACACAATTAATTGCACAATATTATGACTTCAAAACAATTTTTACATGCTGCATCATTTGAAAATCAATACTAAATACCCACGTAGAAGGAAGTTAAAATAGCATGATTACTTCAGCGAATGCATTTTTCTATAGTTTTTGCATTCTTTAACACTATCGGGTAAGTTTAGGATTGGGTTTGGTGTAGGGTGTATTTCCAACACCATAGAACATTAACTTTTGGCGACACTCACCGGACATTTGAATTCTGAACTGCCACAATATGTACCTGAAGCAACGCAGCAATACGTGCCTGTATAAATGTAATACAAATGTGTCAGGGTCACATATTGAATGATCGTTTAAGTGCCACTCACTGGACATTTCACTTTGAAACTGCCGCGAAACATGCAGTAAGGTATGAAATATCGGTGTTGCAGAAATGTCACCACAAGCATGTATTTCCAATGAGCCTGGGTTGGCATTGAAATGTAATTTTTCCTCCAATGTTTTTTTTTTTTTTTACCCCGTCGCCATGTCCATCTAGGGGGCTCTGTATGGAACAGTTCTTAAACTAAGTTCTTAAGACACATACACTAGTTTGGGTTATGCAATTTGGATAATTGTATTTATTTATTTTTTTAAGAATGTTTTTCTTTGTCAAGTATGCATTAAAATCAATAAGACATTTATAATGGTACAAAATATTTATATTTTAAATAAATGTTGTTCTTTTGAACTTTCCATTCATCAGAAAGTCCTGGGGGGGGGGGGGGGGGAAAAAAAAAAAAAAAATTTTTAAACCCCTCAAAAAAATCGGGGGTTGCAAATGTCCTACTGTAAATATATCAAAACTTAATTTTTGATCAGTAATATGCATTGCTAAGGACTTCATTTGGACAACTTTAAAGGCAATTTTCTCAATATTTTGATTTTTTTACACCCTCAGATTCCAGATTTTCAAATAGTTGTATTCTCAGCCAAATATTGTCCTGTCCTAACAAACCATACATCAATGGAAAGCTGATTTATCCAGCTTTCAGATGATGTATAAATCTCAATTTTTAAAAATTGACATTTAAGAGTCCAGGCTCACATATTAGAATGATTTCTGAAGGGTCATGTGACACTGAAGACTGGAGTAATGATGCTGGAACTCTTCTATTCAGGAATAATATAATTACCAGAATGAATGACATTTTTAATAATATTTTTACAATATTACTTTTTAAAATATTTTTGATCAAATAAACACAGCCTTGTTGAACATTAAAAAACTATTTTAAACTGTGTTGTAAACTGTATCTGTGACATGTTATCTTGGTGGGCAGATTACAGCGGTCAGTTACTGACTTTGAAGTCAGTTTTTCAGATCCATTGACTGAGCCCTGGCACCTACGACAGCACAATTTCGGTGGTCAAGGTCTATAGGACCTCTAGAGACTCAAGAGTGAGTGTGAGGCTGTCTTCTACTATATTGCTGACAGTTACAAAAATTACTGTGACTCTGGTAGATATGACATTATAGTTCCTGTCTTGATAAAGTATATAATTATGTATTCCCAGGGTACTTTAAAGAGTACAGTGATGTTACCAAGGCACTTGTCCAAAAATACTAGTATTATGTCCAAATACCAAATGTAATTAGTATTTGTTTGTGGAGGGTGGTCTGAGATTGCAGGGAGTACAGTGTATCTGTAGTCTCTCCCTCTCTCGCTCTCTCTCACACACACACACACACACACACACACACACACACACACACACTCGCTCGCAAATAATAAACACACTTAGGGAGATGTTTTCTCTGCCCACATCTATAATTAATTGCAGCAGGGTATAATCTCTCGCTCACACACACACACACACACACACACACACACACACAAGTCGGCCATCTGGCAAGTTATTCTGTTGTATTTAAGCTGTTTTTGGACACACATACACATACATACATACATAATACATCAAAACCATGCCTTCACGTTATGCATGCTATGCACACACAGTCACACAGAGTCCTGCAGCACAACTCTAGTGTGTTGGACTTTTGACATACTGTGATATAGTGCATGTCTATGTGTTCGTAAAGCAAACAGAGGCACAGTAAAATAATTAAACGGATAAGTAAACAAATGTAGATAAATATGGCTGTATATCTGTGTGCAGGCTGTAGCTAATGAACACTGAGGGTGTGAATGTGAGGTTTTGGCAAATGTTTGGCACTGGAGGCAGGAGCAGAACTGATCTGGCAGCTGATGTTGTAGATTTAGACTCCGAGCTGCAGACGTCTTTAAGATGTGACCTATATTTTTTAGTATTCTCTTTTGAGTTCCTCTCAAGTCATGGAGGTGTGTGTGTGTGTGTGTGTGTGTGTGTTTGTGTCCCTACAGACCCACATTGTGAGCCAGCTGTTGAAGCACAAAGCAGATCCTACTCTCCTGAACTGCAACCAGGACAAGCCCTCAGGTACAAACACACACAAAAACTGAGTTAAGTTTTCAGTGACTGATGATGAGATCTAGGAGGAGCTGGTCATGTTTCACCACAAATTATATAAAAAAAACTTTTTTACAGTTTACATGGATTTCTTTTAAATGCTACAACAACAACAATAATAAGAAGAATAAGAATAATACCATTATTCTTGATGATTTATCTATTTTTTACATTATTAAAAATTCACATTGGCCTCAAACTTTTGAATGGTAGTATAAAAGTATACATTTTAAATGTTTAATATAATGTTACAGAAAAATTGTATATAAGAGAAAAAAAAATGGAAAAAATATATAAATATTTTGCTTTTAAAAAAAACGGAAACTATTGTAATACTGTAACAAGACAATCTCTGAAGTGCATCATGGTGCAGTATTTTATTTTATTTATTTATTTATTTTTTCCTAAGAGTGAAATGTTGCTCTTATAAGTCAAGTGCACTAAACATACACTAGCTGTTCCAAAGCAACATTCTCTCCCTGGCTGAAGCTACGGTCCGAAAATACACTCTCACTTGAAGAGTGATTCTGATTGACTCTTGACGACATGTCATCAATCATCACACATCATGAGTTGTTCTTTTGTGTTAATGTTGCAAGCTGTTCTGTGAAAGAGTTGGTTAGGCTTGCTTCAGACTGGCTGGCGCTAGGATCTGATTTACGAACATCCTGTCGTCTTGGGCCTTTCTGTGGAATTCGGCTCCTCATGTTTCAACCATGTTCTTGATCGAATCTTATATTATCTGATTCGGTCTGATACCCTACAATATGAATGGTGAGATGTGTATCAACTATTATCGAAAGACTTAACTATTAATATCAGCCCAGCCCAAGTGGATATTAAATCTACCAAATGGCTGCAGAATCTGCTCGCATTCCTTATATTACTGAATACATTGTACATCTCTGTGACTTTCACACAGAATATAACTGAAACCAAACTTGTCAGGGATGTGTTACACATTTGTGCCCCAGAGTTTAAGTGTGTTAGACTGTTCTTCCTCTCTAGAGCTTTCTGTTGAATGTGAATATATCATAACTGGACAGATTCATTCAGTTCTCTGTCTCTGTTTGCTTCTGTGCTGATGTCTGTGAAACTGCTTCCACTAAGTTTGGATGGTTAATATAACAACTGCTGTCACAGCTAATTGAAGCCAAGAGATTTAAAGGGAAATATAGTGAGAAACAAGATTTTGCTCTTTTCAAAAAAAAAAAAAAAGGATTTGATGTGTTTGTGACAACATTCATATTTCGAAACTCCCACACAGTTCATTTATGGAAACGTACCTGCAAAAAAAAAAAAACGGGTTACGGAGAAACTGTGTTTTTGTGTCATTAATATATCACTATCTATGTCACCACCAATTAGAATACGTTTTGATATGTAGACATTTACTCATTCCACATTTTACCGTTTCTGTACATTTAAACATTTGGTAGACCATTTTATTCAAAGTGACCTTTACTGCATTTAAAGCATATACATTTTTGTCAGTAACCAGTAAATCAAACCCATGATCTTGGCATTGCTAGGGCTGTTATTCCGGAAGCTGGGTTTGCCAGAAATTCATCTTAACAAAATAAAGTGACAATGTTTTGTATTACGGGATGGCATAGTGGTGCCTGTATATTTTACAACTCGCAACCATATATATTTTTTAATGATATACCAAGTTACCTGAACTGTAAAAAAAAACAAAAAACATGGCCATTGTCTTATGTAGATGGTGTACAGAGTAATACAAACGAAGACAAAACATCAGCAGGGTAACACACACACACACACAAATACAATAAACATTAATAAATAACAAAAAAATACTTCTGGGAATGTCCTTTCACTGTTTTTACACCATAAATGATCTAGCAATTCATAGTATTTCATTCCAAAAACCATCAATTTGACAGTTTTATTTTTTTTTTTACAGTAAAATGACATGTAATGCAATGGTTTCACTGTATACAGCAAGGTAACTTACTAATAACCAATTAGCAGGTTTTTAGCATTTAGTAGTTTGTTTACGGACCAATCTAAAAATTACTAATATTTTGTACAGTTTATTTTATAAACTACAGTGCAGACTTTAAATGACCAATTGCAAGACTGACTCTTGGCATGTAGAGAGGTCGTTTACATATTGGTACAGTAACTTAAACCGCATCTGTAAGTGTCAGAGAAGATGGAAAATAATGATGTGAAACTAAATTATAATGGTTTTTACATTTTCCCCCCTAAGGTCCCAGGTTTTTTTGCACAAAACAACATTTTTTTATGACAATTTTCCTGTCTTTCTCTGAGATTATCAATTAAATAATGTTGCTGTCTTCTTACTGATAAGCCTTCTGGGCTACTATTTTAAAACCCGCTTTGCATGTGAAATGAAATGCACCACTGTACTGTACTTATTAGCAAATAGTTTGTTGCTGTTGTTGTTTTGTTTTCAGCATAAACCTTAAAAAAAAAAAATATCAAGATTCTTTGTTTTAGTCTTAGTATTTTATGCAATTTTGCTTCAAGTATCTTAAGGATGACCTGGGATGAAACGCAGAGCCAAAGTAAATCCTTTATTCTCACTTAAAGTCTCTTTAGAGAGCAGTGTATATGTCTGACTTTCAGAGAGAATGTGTGTGATTGGAGGATCGTTCTCTTGGGTGTCACTTTCCTGCAGTAAGAAAGGCAAAAGGCTGGTTCCTATCATGGGGGGACGGGTTATCTGCCTCCCCGACCCCCGATCAGAGCACAGATGGATCAATCTGCAGCATGGCTCAATGCCCATCTCCGTATGGCCACATCCATGTGAGGAACAGCAGGGGCTGAGCTACAGAGGGAATGAGGGAGTAAATCGATTGGGCCCCAGGGAAAATCATGGCTCAAAATGATATTATAAATGCTGTCTTTAGTCACTAATAATATTTAGTAAAGATATAACTGTTCTTTTTGAGAAGGAATAGCTCAGCCACTGTTCTTCCTTCCTTCCTTCCTATGTTGAAGATGCTTGCTTACTTAAAAAAAAAAAAGATTCTTTGAAACCAAATTCATCTCTATTTGGTTAGCATCATGATGAAACTGAGCTTTTTCTTTTTCTTTTTAATCTTCGGCTACAACTGAAAAATCACTTTTGACTTCCAGTAAGATGATTTCTACACTGACCCACTATGACTTTGGTTTTTACAGATTTGACTGCTACTGAGCAGATTGCAGAGATGCTGATGAGAGCAGAGGAATTCTGGGTACAGAGACAGACAGACCCCTCGGCTCCGCCTCCACAATCAGAAGAGCACTGCACAGAGGTCAACCAGGACAGCAGCCTGCCTGTAAAGAAATTGTATGTACAATGGTTACAGACAGTGGTTACGGTTTCTGATTCAGAGAATGTGTTGCCAATCCATGGACTTGAACACTCTAGATTTGAGAGAGTTCATTTGTCAGCAGAAAGTGATTAGTGATTAGCAAATTTAGACTGACATTCAGGCTAAAAAAAACTACTCAGGCTAGTAGGTATATAGTAAAATGATATATTTATATCAGGATTGGAAATTAACAGGGGCTTGAGATAATGCCACCAAAGTTTTTTTTCTTTTTACCTAATAATATCAGCAGTCACCAAAAGTTCTTTAAATAAAGCATTAATAAGCAACAGCAAAACATTGTGCATCTCCGAGAAACACACAATGGTGTTTTGTTACTGAATGAATCAGCGTTTTTGAGCAAATCAGTTGAGTAAATGATTCCGCTACCCATTTATCAATTAATTTACTTGCTTCGGTCCATGAATCGGCTATTATGAATGAATCGTTTGAATGAATGATTCAATGATGGTGCAATAAGCAACAGCAAAACATTGTGCATCTCCGAGAAACACACAATGGTGTTTTGTTACTGAATGAATCAGCGTTTTTGAGCAAATCAGTTGAGTAAATGATTCCGCGACCCATTTATCAATTAATTTACTTGCTTCGGTCCATGAATCGGCTATTATGAATGAATCGTTTGAATGAATGATTCAATGATGGTGTTTTTATTTTCATATTTAAAGTACTATTTCATTTCTTAATCATTTAATATTTATATATTCAACATTTTAAAGCTCTCTTATAGTATTATTTAGGCCATTGTAATTACAGCGTAAATGCATTTATGCCACCTCTGAGCTGCATTAAATGATCAGTGTGAATGCACCTAAATGCCACTTCAGATGCAGATTCTGTGCCACCATGGCAGTGCAAAGATGGATTTTGTTGATATTGATTGATTTCTTTTTTTATTTTACTTCCTTCAGGGCTACTATGGCTCTACCCATCTCTAGGAGGGACAGTTTGTTGGAGAAGGAGGCCATGTTCAGGGACTCGGGAGGAGCTCTGACACGGCAGCCTTCACTTGATAACGGGCTGGATGGATCATATCCCAGTGCTGCAGGAAAACTGGAGCAGGTCAGAAGGAGAGTTGGGAAAATTGTCCTCTAAAGAATGTATACAAAAGTATATAGTGTGTATTTTGGTCATTCATCTGAAACAACGCATTATATATCATGCAAGCTTTGTTCCAAAACACAGTGACACGCTTACATGTAGAGTACGCCATTTAAGGCATCATAGGTAGTATTTTAGGTTGGATGCAACCCTGGAAGGCTAGGTTTTATAATATAGCTTAAATATGCACAAGGATCTATAAACTGAACCAATCCTATACATTCACTAGCACAAAGCAATTGCATTCTATACTGATCTTGCACATTCAGAGTGATTTGTCTTGTTCCCAACGGGTAATAGAGAGAAACGAGTAACATGTAATACACTTAAATCCCGTCTCACCACAGCAGGTTTGGGATTAATGCATTTGAGAAAGTCCTGGCCTGCTATTGGAGAGCAGCAAGTAGAATCAGTCATAGTTTGGAAGTAGAGAGCCTCAGTAATCTATCCCACTGCACACGCTGACCCCACTCACCCTGAGAGTGACCCCTGACCTCTGAAGAAACAGGAAAATGAGTTCCCTTACTCTCAGGCCTGCAGTGCTATGTAAGCTTAAGTGTATGTGTATATTTTAGGAAGGAGAAAGTAGATTTCACGTCTATTTGATTGATTAGACAACATTTACAATGCATTTACATTACTGTTGAAAAGTTTAGATTTTTATTTTTTATACTGAATACTTGCTGAATACTTTTATTTAGCAAGGGTGAATTAAATTGATCAAACGTGATAGTAAAGACCTTTAGTATGTTACACAATTTTTTATTTCAAATAAATGCAATAAAAATACACTAAATTACATACCTGAATGAATATCTGTAAAAATCCTGATTGGAGCATCACTATAAATAGTGATCTCGGTGATCTTATCAGCAGATACTGCTTCCTGTGATAGATGATCGGTGACCGGCCCCAAAAATCCTGATCGGAGCAGCCTTAATAATAAGGAATGTTTTTGTGTTCCAGGTGAAACTAATGCCTCCTGCTCCTAATGATGACCTGGCATCCCTCAGTGAGCTCACAGACAGCAGCCTGCTCTATGAGATGCAGAAGCGGTTTGCTAACGACCAGATATATGTACGTAAATACACAGACGCATACACAATCATTGGGCTATAATGAAGCATGCAGTTGGTTAGTGAGAAATATGTATTAACCATGTCACTTCCTAAAGCCTCAAATCGAGAATAAACACACAGTTAGGAACCCAACCCTCAGTCTAGCCTGTTCAGGAAGAGCCTTTCATTCTCTGTCTTAACTCACTCGGATGGAGCTGATGTCCGGATTCTGGCCTCTATCATACACTCTGTGGTCTTTCACCAAGCCATCCGGTCCAGTGTGCCTTTGACACACACACACATTGCTGCTGGATCTCTTGTCGTGAGGTCTTGGAGAGTGGCCAAGGCCTCTGTTTGTAGCGTGGCCAGAGACTGGTATTTGGATGGCAGCCCTCTAGGTCTCACTGTATTCAGGCCAAAGACTTGAGCCAGCCCTGGGGAGATGAAAAGACATTCTTACATTGACTCGCTGTTAACGGCTGCTGTCGTTACTGCTACTATTACCACAATGGCTGTTGCTACTATAAATCTTGGCTGCTGACATTTATTATATGCCTTGTTGCTACTATAATCCTACAGCTGTACTAACTCAATTATTCTTGATTCTATCTCTGCCGCCATGGATACTGTCAATGCCATTTCTGCTATTTATATTTAAAGGGTCATATTCTACATTTTAGCATTTTATTATTATTATATTTTCCACCAAAGTCTATGTACAGTACAATGTTAGCTAAGGTTTCTTGCTCCAAACACTGGTGGTTAATTTCTATGTGACAATTGTCTACTTTCTTCTGACTCCCAGAATTGAACAGATTTTGTGAATAATATCAGTTAATGACGGGCTTACATTTTCATATAAGTGACTAACAATGGCTTGCCTGACTAACAATCTGTTGATTTGAATCGACTCGTATCTCTTAACTATTTATTTGCGTCATCATTCAAACTTTCACAGAAGTCTTCAGTAGATTGAACTTAAGTCCTTTTGACCCACTTTAGTAGGACTTCATGTGATTTCATAATTCTATTGTCATAGAAATTGATAAAGTGTACTGCCGGATGTACAGACAAGCATTTATAGTTAACTAAAATGTGCTTTTAATGTCATTTCTATTGAAAATCGTGTCATGTATTTAAATATTTGCACATTTGCAATGAATTTTCAAATTTAGAACGTTTTCATAACTTAGTATTTATCAAAGAATCCTGAAAAAGTGTAGTTTGTAAGTGTATAAAAATTTATGAAAAATATGAATTGACAATTATAACTAATGCTTCTCAAGCATCAAATCAGCATATCAGAATGATTTCTGAAGGATCATGTGACACTGAAGACTGGAGTAATGCTGCTGAAACTTCAGATTTGCATCACAGGAATAAATTACATTTTAAAATATATTAAAATAATAAACGGTTGTTTTACATTGTAATCATATTTCACAATATTATTACTGTTTGCTGTATTTATTTATTTACCAAATTAATGAGTATGAGCCCTTTTTTCCCCAAGAACATTAAGAAATCTTACCAACCTCAGATTTTTGAATGATAGTGTCACTCATAAAAAATATGCAGCTGATATAAATATAATTGTGCATATCTAGATTACTTAGTGCCTCAAACAAAACTTTAATCTTTATCTCTTTATTATCTTTCAAAGATCTGATGCCATTAATCTTACAAGTCTAAAAAAAACAGTGATTAGTTCATCCTGACAAGTTGTCACTTTATCAACCTGATAAACTCAACAGTAGTTTGAAGTAGAAAGGTGTGCCCTTCAATCCCAAAAGCTGTGTAGCACCAACCAAACACAATGAAATGATTGATTTCAGCCAGTGTTTGTCATTAGACTGTGGGCATGTTGAGGCTAAAACTGGTAAAAATGTTAACCATGTTAACTTTTTTCGTCTTTGTCTTTTCAGACCTACATTGGACACATTCTTCTCCTTATTAACCCTTATAAGGACCTGCCCATCTACTCCAATCTCGTAAGTACAGAGACACACGTTCAGTGTTGTTTTTTATATCAAATAAATGTTTAATTCTTCAGCAGTATGATTTAGAGTATTCATCTCTCTCTAACTAGAGAACATTTTAAGCTGTTCTCTGGTTCACACTCTGTAAGCACAGCGCAGCACTTTCAATTCAAACAGGACTTGATCTCTTGATAAATTATTCATGGCCTTGCTGACAGTGATAGCCTATTCAACATACAGCGCTCACTTCCTGTGCCCTCTTCATCTACCGATAAGATCCCCACTCCTCCTTCCTCTATTTATTTCTGTATCTTCCTTCGGTTTGTTAGAGGTTCTCAAGCTTAGCGTCCGTCCAGCCCGACCGTTGTCTCCTCTGATACAGCTGGCTGACCACAGGAAGGCAGAGTTGATGAGAGCACACTCATCAGGGACACACAGCATGTGCCACCCGCCGCTAAGAAAAATAAAAGTTGACAAGATGACCATCTGTCCGCCGTAACGCTTTACTGGCACGTGAAGGGGAGCAGAGGAGTAGACTGAATGCACACACACACACTTTATAAATGATATGCAGTGGGTCCATTGGGGCGTCTGTCCCCTGTCGACCCCTGCATCAGAGACTCATTTCAGGCATGATTTCTCCAGTGTGTCCCCCAGATTGGGGCTCAGAGTCAGAATGACGCATTGAGAGAGAAGGACATGTGCACCGCCATCTGTGATGGCCTCAGATCACCATCATGCTCATGTCACATCACCTGAACCCCTTTATCATAAACTTTAATCCAGGTCTGTATATCAATCTCTGTCTTTCGGTACACAGCCTCCATCTTGCCTCTGCTGGGCTAATTTCCTGTCAGTCATAGCGACTGGAGGCTAAAATCCACAATAAAAGTGAAAGATGAAAAACAATCTAACCACAGTAAAGATCTGGGCCTGGTTGCATGAAAGGCCTTATGCTAAGAAATCCCTTAGTTATAAGGTTAAGGGATTCCTTAGTGAAACTTGGGCTGCAAGAAATAAACCTAAGGGTCAGCTTAAGGAAACTTAAGGCAGCAATGAAGTATTCCCCTTAATTATTTAAGTGTTCCCTTAAGTGTTGCTACAAAGTCCTTAGTAACCATTTCACCTTAATACATTTATTTATTTACCGAACGAGCTCCCTTAAGTCATCTTAAACTTAAATTTTTTAAGACCTGCACAAATAAAATATCATATGAGCGCAGTAGGGCAATGACTATGGTAACATATTAAACTGTAAAATGACTATAAAAAGCATGACTTACAGGTTTTCACAAAACAAAACGTTTTATGTAAAGTTTTAAGTAAATGGACGAGTTGTATCAATTATGATATCAATTTAAACAATTATTATTAATCAATTATTACATTAATTAAATAACTATATAACTATAATTTGTCTTAATGCGTTATAAAATCTAAACAATTATCTTGTCGGTCCACCTGTTCACATTTACAACTCTGTGTGTTTGCAGCGTCAAAACATGGGTTCATTTTCACATTTGGTAAATTTTCTGTCATTGGTCTGCAGGAGGCGCATTCACTGCAGAAACAAAGTGGTTTCCTCCGTAACGACTGTACACAAAGCAGCGCAGAAACGGGCAGCGCTCATGCTTATTTAATGTTTGTCTGTGTTTTAGTTGGTTAGGTTTGTATTTCATTATGTTCTGTTTATTGTCATAGATATGTTTATTGTGAGATGTAGTAACTATAGTAACTGCGGCGCCCATTGCCGTATGTTGCCAGAAACTACCGTGAAGTGCTTAATATAAACACTTAGGTAAGGGTGACAGTTAAAGGGTTAGTTCACCCCAAAATGAAAATTCTGTCATTAATTACTCACCCTCGTGTCGTTCCAAACCTGTAAGACATTTGTTCATCTTCGGAACACACATTAAGATATTTTTGGTGAAATGTGAGAGCTCTCAGACCCTGCATAGACCGCAATGCAACTGTAATGTTCCCAGGTCCAGAAACGTAGTAAGGACATCGGTAAAACAGTCCATGTGACATCAGTGGCTCAACTTCAGTTTTGCAAAGCTACGAGAATACTTTTTGGGCGCAAAAAAAGGTCTTACGAAGGTCTTGCAGGTTTGGAACGACATGAGGGTGAGTAATTAATGACAGAATTTTTGGGTGAACTATCCCTTTAAGACGTTTGTTGCAACTCTCCTAAAGAAATCCCTTACCTCAGGTATTTTTTCCCCCTCAGGGATACTCCTAAGTCAAATTATTTAAGGACTTTCATGCAACCCTGTGTGTTTGTGTATATGTTTGTTTGTTTTGTTTTATTTCTGATTTTGTTTTGTGTTTGTTTTATTTTTGTGTATGTGTGTGTTGTGGTCTATTTTAATGTTTTGTTTCTTTTAATTTTTGTTTTGTTTTCGGTTTTATTTTATTTTGTTTTTTTGTTTGGTTTGTGTTTTGTTTGAATTTTAGTTTTAATTTAAATGTTTGTTTTTTTGTTTTATCTGTGTTTTTGCTTTTTGTTTGGTTTAGCTTTCTCTGTGTGTGTAAATGTGTTTTTTTGTTGTGTTTGATACTTTTAAATGCTTTTTTTGTGTATTTTATTAAATTTCTTGTTTTGTTTTGTTTGATTTTTTTTTTTTGCTTTGTTTTTATCAATGCAAAAGATTGTGGGATATAACAGGCAGTAAAATTAGATGCTATGCTGCCTTGTAAATCAGATGAATGAGTTTCACAGTAATAGTCAAAATGTTAAAGGGGTCATATGATGCTTTTTTAAAGATCATTATTTTGTGTATTTGGTGTAACAGAATATGTTGACATGCTTTAATGTTAAAAAAACACATTATTTTTCAAATACTGTACGTTATTGTAGGTCCTATATGCCCCGCCTCTCTCAAACGCTTCGTTTTCTACAAAGTCCCTCCTTCCGACAAGTGCAGTCTGCTCTGATTGGCCAGCTGACCCAGTGCATTGTGATTGGCCGAACACCGCAAGCACTCGTCGGAAATGTAACATCCCTTACCATAATCGCGAGCTTCATCTTTCAAAATAAATGTAAAGACAGCCCGAAAGGGGAACAGAGTCTCGTGACAGACACAGTGATGAATATGTGTTTGCAGTACACAAGCCACGGTTAAGACAGCTGACTCCACTGTGATGTGTGTGTCTCTCTCTCTCTCTCGCTCGTGCGCGCACACACACACACCCCGCTCTCTCTCTCTCTCTCTCTCTCTCTCGCTCGCGCACACGCGCATACACACACACACACACACACTGCTCTCTCTCTCTCTCTCTCTCTCGCTCGCACGCGCGCACACACACACACACACGCGCACGATGCGCAAAACTCCGCATTTGAACAGTCAATAGCAAATACTTAAACTAATAACAAAACAGTAGCTGATTCAGAAGCGCCAGATTGTCATAGCAAAGTCAGAATTACCTCCTCTCCTAGGTTCACGAAATGGTCGTCCATAAAATGCATTGCTGTTCTGTTGTAAGTAATCTTAAAGATTCCTAAATGCATCTACTTCCGGAAGGCCAAATAAAGTGCTTTTGCTTTCGCCTAGAAACACACAGCGTCTCCCTGACATGCTGCTTCAACATTAACTGCGGTTACTGAAACCACGCCTTCTTTCTTTGCGTGCACATTTGGGCGGCATTATGCAAATATTCCCACATAGTGAGGTAGATATGTGGGGGGGTGTTAGAACGAGCCGTTTAAGGGGGGCGTGGCAGAGTCTTAACTTTGATAAAGAATATCTCTTTGGCTTTGAGACTTTAGTCTTTGCAACTTCAGGGATCTTATCTATGCACAATCAGCTTGTAACACTCCAAAGAGAAAGGAAAACTTAAAATCGCATCATATGACCCCTTTAAACAAACATAGACCGTAACAAAGGCACATTGGCACAAATTGCTTATATAATGCTTGTTAAGGCTGCAATTTTTGTGATTAACACAGCTTGTGTCTTGCCCACCTTTTCCTCTGTTCTTGCGGTGTCCTCTATGGCTCTGTCGTACAGTATGTGTGTTGTGTCTCGGTGGTAAAGGGTAATAAGATCTCAGCATTAGCCTTTTTTTCCCAAATTGGGCTAAAATTTAGCTTACTCTGCATTTCACACACATGCTAACACACATAACCTTTCTGTTTCTAACACCTAGAAATATAGCCAGACACTAAATCTGCAGTGTCGCTTAAGTTTTATTCTTGCTGTGTGAGGATATATTTTTATGTCTTAGGCTTTTAGGCTCATTCAGATCTAATTATGGCATCTCTCTTATTACTCAAGATTCAAGGCTTCCTCACTCAGTTATTTCACTTTTAGCCAGCAGGTGTAATGCCTGTATCTAGATTTGCATTTCCTGTAAAAAATACCGGTGTTTATACGGCAACAAAGAACAGAATTCAAGTTGATTCAGGTTTTTCTTTTTAGTGTTGTTTTAATTACATTTGCATGAAAGCCACTTTGCTCAGCATCTTGTTTTCAGTCAATGCATTTTGAATTTTGAATTTTATCAGTACATTTTTTTAAATTGCAACATTTCCAGAAGGCAGAAACAGATAGCGCAGCGAAGATGTAAGACCTGAAGTTGTCTACAAAATAAAGTTTTAAATGTCTAAAGAGTGTTTAAACAGGCTTTACGTTAATTGCTTCAGGCTTAATTAACTTCAGAAGCTTAATGCTTCAGAACTAATCCTGACCAGAGCGCTTGAAAAATACCAAACACTAATGAAGTGAACAGGTCGTGGGAAATTAGCAGTGTTATGTAAATGTCTCTCTTTCTGTCTCTCAGGTCAGTCAGTTGTACCTGAGCTCCAGTGGTCGTCTGTGTTCCTCTCTCCCGCCTCATATCTTCTCTTCAGCTGAGCGAGCTTATCACATGATGCTGCAGGAGCGACGCCCACAGTGTTTTATCATCAGGTGCCACCCACTGACATGCATAACACCGCCACACTTATCATGCATTCTTTACACTTTTCGTTTTATTTGCACAGTCAGTAGCTTTTTCTTGATCCAGTAATCACTAAATTTAAATTGTAGTGATTACTGGATCAAGAAAGTCCAAAATAGATGATATTCACTTATGCAGCTTTATCACTGCTTTAGCTGACAGTTTTGGCCCAGTTCACAACAGTGGCGACCTTCACTGTGTGATACTTGATGCGCTGAGTTATGAATTCAAAATCCATGGGAATCTCCAATTCTTTACAACTGATGTAGCTGCCTGGATGAATGGGCAAAACATCTCAAATACAGTGTTTAACTTTGGGGCATAGGAGCGAGCTGAAAATGGTGATTATTGAAAACAGAAAGTTATACATTTCATAAAAGCTTCCTCGGATATAAATATTCATCAGATAAATATCGGGGTATTTTAGAATTTCAGGCATAGAGACGTTATGAATATTAATTAGAAAGTAATTAACAAAATTATATGTTTTTTTAAGGGTTACATGTTTAACAAGCTTTTATTTAATTTTATATACAATTTTATGGCATTTTAAATGTTTTTGTTAAAGCTTACATGTTTAATAAACTTTTATTTAAAAGTAAAAAAATAAAATAAATACTTTATTGGCACCCCTTTGCTGTATGTTCCCAATGTTTATTCACTGACTAACAATGAACCATACCTTTGTTACATTATTAAATAATATTCGCTAATGCTAGTTCATTTTTACTTCACGTTAACTTTGGTCTATTAAATAATATTACCAAAAAAAAATGATTTCAATATTGTATTATTAAATATAAAAAATTAAAATAAACTAAGATTTTTTTTTATTATTATTTATTTTATTTACATTTTTATTTTAATTTTATTTTAGAATTTCAGGCATAGAGACGTTATGAATATTAATTAGAAAGTAATTAACAAAATTATATGTTTTTTTAAGCGTTACATGTTTAACAAGCTTTTATTTAATTGTATATACAATTTTATGGCATTTTAAATGTTTTTGTTAAAGCTTACATGTTTAATAAACTTTTATTTAAAAGTAAAAAAAATAAAATAAATACTTTATTGGCACCCCTTTGCTGTATGTTCCCAATGTTTATTCACTGACTAACAATGAACCATACCTTTGTTACATTATTAAATAATATTCGCTAATGCTAGTTCATTTTTACTTCACGTTAACTTTGGTCTATTAAATAATATTACCAAAAAAAAATGATTTCAATATTGTATTATTAAATATAAAAAATTAAAATAAACTAAGATTTTTTTTTATTATTATTTATTTTATTTACATTTTTATTTTAATTTAATTTAATTTTATTTTATTAAATTTGTATTTAATTTTATTTTTTTATTTTATGTTATTTTAATTTTATCCTGCAATCACAAATGAATGAATGAAAAAAAATATATATATAAAAATAATAATGAAACTTCATTGGTTGAAAAGTATATTAACCAAAACACGTCCAAATGCTCCCAAATACATTACACTGGACACTTTCTACCTTCTGTCATTGATGCACCAGCTTGTAGATTGGTAATAGCGGTCCACAGCTCAGTAAGTGACCCTGTGTTGGTGGAGAGGTTGAAATGAGGTTGTGTTAGATATGCCTGCTCCCATATTTGGGTAATACCGACTCCTGCATCACCTGAGCGGTTCTCGCTAAACGCTGTCACGGAGACAAATGTGCCAGGGTCGGTGTAAATCCAAACCTGTTAAAAGCTCTCAGCGAGATTAATGGATGCAGGGGCAGCGGTGTAGCCTGCACTGTGTCCTGCCTTGCACTCCAGTCATCTCTGATTAAGTCCTGTTTCACATTCTGATACTCCTCCACTGGCCCGAACCTGGTTTCGCTGAGCCAGACAGGATCTGACAGCTACTTTAATGCCCTCTCTGCGTGGGCTATCCATCACACACACACACACACACACACACACACAGGTTTGTTTTTATGGTTTATGGGGACTCTCCATAGGCATAATGGTTTTTATACTGTACAAACCATATTTTCTATTGCCCTACACCAACCCTACCCCTAAACCTACCCCTCACAGGAAACTTTTTGCATTTTTAGATTTTCAAAAAAACAAATTCTGAATTATTTATAAGCCTTTTGAATTACGGGGACCATGAAAATGTCCTCATAAATCACACTGACTGTAATCTCATATGATGGAGTGATGTGGAGAGGAGTGAAACCGCTCCCTGACATACTGTAAGATCTCCCATTGGTAAACGATAAACAGGCTGACAGGAGCTCTCCTGATTTGTTTTATGTATCTTTACATTGACAGATGCACTTTTAGGCAGATTTGCAGTGTTTTGCAGCTGCTCTCTCTCTGGGTTAATCTGTCACAAACATTCCCATGTTCCATTTTGCCTGAAAATAAAATAACTATTCCAGCACCATTGTTTTCATGACAATTCAGCACATTTTACCAACCGATTCTCATTACTGAAATGCAAAAAAAGGATGCATTAAATGCATTAAACAGTACATTTATATTGTTACAAAATATTAAATGACAAAAATAAAATGCCGTACTTTTGAACTTGTTTTCATCATATAGTTCCAGAAGCAACTGCATCACCATTTCTACAAAAATAAATAAATGAATAACCAGCACATCTGTGGTCAACATTGATAGTAATCTGCAAGTATTACAATAATTTCTGAGAAAGGATCATGTGACACTGAAGACTGGAGTAATTATGCTGAAAATTCAGCTTTGCCATCACAGGTATAAATTACATTTTTAAATCTATTCAAATAGAAAACGGTTACTTAAATTGTTTTAAGATTTCACAATGGTACTGTTTTCTTTGAATAACATAAAAAATACAAACTCATTTTTGAATGGTAGTGTCACCGTCATTTTTAGAGATTAAGTATTTTTACATCTTGGTAATACATATTGTGCTGTCTTTCATATGTGCGGGGGGGGTTTTTTTGTTTTGTTTTTTTACTGAGATCCACACCTTTATTTCCTCTCTGTTCTCTCTGTCTAGTGGAGAGAGTGGTTCTGGGAAGTCTGTGGCCTGTAAGCACATCCTGAAACACCTGGCTGCTCGCTCAAGTCCCAAAGGCTTCGCTTTAGAGCCACGAATGAAGCATGTAAGTCTGTCTGATCATCACACACAGCATACATCTGCTGCCTGACAGTAAGAAACGTCTGTAACCTCATTTTACATCAAATACTTCTGCCTCTTGTAATCATAATCATTTAGGCCCCAACATAATGTATAACCTTTGTATGTGGTTATATAAAATCTTAATTGGATTCATAATTAATAATAAATGTTTTATAATTTAGTGAGGTGTGTGCTTCAAATAAGATTAGTTTAAATGTATAGTTGTTGAGCAGCTGATTAATGTAGTGATTGAACCTTCAACACAACGAATGCATAAAAAGCAGTGTGGTTTTTCTCGTGTGTTCTGTTATCTGAACCCTGGAGGTGTTTGTGCGTTCAGTTACTCTGGTTATCCTTCAGAGTCATGATAGCCTCAAACAGCTGTTATTCTCTCATTCATGAGAGAATTAGATGCTTTGAATGAGCATCCAAAAACCCCAAGGCAAAGTGTGCTTATGGTTGAATCTCAAGGAAAGAGCCATTGTTAGATAAAGACACATCCAAATACAGAAACCACTAGCCGTTTAATAGCCAGGGGCCACTGGTGACATTATTACACATGAATACATCTCTCTCTGTCTGTGTGTGTGTGCTCTCAACACTAGATGCAGCAGTACACAGCACAGCCTCTCCATGCTGTCTCTTAATGTGTACATTTTTATCAGTGGTGACTTATTGCCACCTGGTGGAGAAAAATGCTAAATGCCCTGAGTAGTTATCCTCGTTATCTATCTATCTATCTATCTATCTATCTATCTATCTATCTGTCTATCTGTCTATCTGTCTGTCTGTCTGTCTGTCTTTCTTAACAATTCAAATTCCATAATTTTCGGAGGGTGTTTCATGTATTATGGCAATGCCCAGAAGTCCAGCATTTTTGGAGAGAGGTGCATGGTTATGTTGTAAAGATATCACAGACCCAGAATGATCTCTGTCCAAGTTTATACATCCTTGGCGACCCTCGGCCTGTAAGTCATGTTAAGAGGGCTGAATCACAGTGAATACAGAGCTGCATCATGCTAGGCAGACGGGGGATTGTGAAAAGCTGGAAATCTTCCGGAAGGGCTCTGTTTTTTTGAGTGGCTTCTAGATTTTGGGGCGAGTGGCAGCCCTGGAAAAACTCTCCTGTAGTCTACATGGGAGGATTGATATTTTTTTGATAAATGGGGATTTTTTTTTTTTTTTGCATTTCTGTAATCCACAGCAGTAGCAAACGTGACAAGATGAAAATAATAATGGCCATGGTAAATATGATACAGCTTCTAGTAGAAACTCATGGTATTGGCAACACCCCCCTATTTTCCCTTTCTTCCCCCTCTTAATCTGTTTACTTATTTATATCGGTAAATTTACTTATTATATTACCATTTTACTAATTAACTATTTTGCTTTATGTAGGTTTCTTTTTTGTATGTTTGTTTGTTTTAGTGGTAGGGTCAAGTACATGATTGTTTGTTATTTCTAGTTTGCAAACAAGAAAATCAATGAAGTACAAATCATACAAATAATTCCATGATTTCTAATTAGGCATCAAATCAAGTGCCCATAAAATTGTTGTTCCAGTCAAAGGCCTGGCGTGACAGCGGTGATAATGTAATGCCATCATAATCGTGTGGGGAAAAATGTCATGCTTATTGGTGATTTATTTATTTATTTAGGTGCTTCACTGTATGTCTCTCAATTATTGCTGTCTAGGTAGGCTGCTCACTAGGGTCCACACTCACTAGAGAGTCCACATGGGAATCCCTGTCTCTGTTTTGTAATCACTTCATTCTCCTGTCGTGTTTGCAGGTGAATGTGATCTTGGAAGCTTTTGGTCATGCTAAGACTCCGATAAACTCCTCAGCAAGCCGTTTCATCAAGCTGATCTCACTGCAGTACTGTGAGAAGAGAAAGACTCTACTCAGAGGTAGTTAGACTGCTTCGGTTTTCACTTTGATTATTTATAGCACTACTTTAATATTGTTGAATGTAGAGAAATAGAGAATGTGCTTTTGCATTCTTTTTTTTTTTTTTGGTGTCAGCTCTTCTTCTGATCTGTCATCCTTCACCTATAGAGGGAGCCATTGCTCTGCTAATGACCCATCCACTCTTTTTAGGCCGTCTGTACACTTACATGCTGGAGAAGTCGAGAGTAATCTGCGCTCCACTGCATCAGCAGAACTTTAACATCTTCTACTTAATGGCTGAGGGGCTTTCAGCAGAGGAGAAGAGCAATCTATATCTAAACAATGTCCTAGCCCACAGGTAACACAGGCAAAGTGGACAGGCATGCTATTTAATTATTTATATATTTTTATTCATTCATTTATTTATTTTTTGATAAACGCTTATTTTACAAGACCTCCCGTATAAAAACGTATCCTACCTTATTATTAATTCTAACATATTACAAATAAGGATTATTTTATTTTATTGCCAGTGAGTTTTTGTTATCGTTTGTTCACAAAGATTGCCAGTCGGTTTTATTTTATTTTATTTTATTTTATTTTATTCAGCTCCACTGCCAATACATGTTTCAAAATAAGCTAAAATATTGAGATATTTTAAATAAACCTTTACATTTGCAAATAGAAATGAAAAGAATAAATGACCTACCCAGAGATTTCGTTGAGAAAATCAACTTAAAAAGTGGATAGTTGGCATTAGTGTAATACACAAATTCAAACTGTATTTTGTTTTTTTGCATCTTTTTCAGATTCCGATATAGATCTCTATAATATTAACACTGTAGTAAAGGGTACACTGAGACATGAACACTATGAGACATGTTGATTATTAAATTCAGCAGTCAGTGCATTGAATTTTCATTGTCAGATTGATTCTGTTTCAGCCTTTAACATCAGGATTTTTCAAAATGTTAAAAAAGGTACTACTGGGTGATGTCAGATGCCAGTTTTAAACTTGTTTTACCCTGAACTCTCTGTGACCCCAAGTGTCCTCAGCAAATCTTGCATGGGGTAAATGGAAGGTTGTCATTAAAAATTTCACCTTCACCTTTCCTTGACTTGAATTTGTGATTATGTCAGTGACACTTAGAACATCTCAAACTTTTCTTGCCTCTCTTAAAGACCCTCACCAAATACTTGTGTCCAGATGGCACTGCCAATGTAAAGTCTAAGTCATCTCAAATCTTAATTCACACTAGTCATGCCTCTTTTGTGTGTGTGTGTGTGTTTGTGTGTGTGTTTGTGTGTGTGTTTTCAGGTGTATGAGCACAGCTGCTCCCGGTGAAACTCCTGCAGTAGCTACAGCGTGTCTTCAGAGCAGAGAGAAGCTCTCGACCCTTAAACAGGCTCTGCGTGCTCTCGGCTTCAACAGACTGGTACATACATGTTCAATAACACGTGCATCCTCACGCAACATGCAAAGATGCAAAATAACTGCACAAATGTACGCTTAGTCTTCATTTAGTTGTGTGCACACGTGTGTGTGAGACATAAATACAATGAAGTTCAAAAATCTGAGAACACAGAAAATGTAGGATTCAAAGTCTAATTTCAACCTGGAAATAAAAACTTAAAATAAAATGAAATAACAATAAATAAATAAACAAGTAAGTGTATATATATATATTTTTTTTTTTTTTTTTTTTTTTTTTTTTTTTTTAAAGTCTCTTTTGCACATCATGGCTGCATTTATTTGATCATAAATACAGAAAAAAGGAAAAGAAAAAGTGTACAACGCAATGATGTGAAATATTGTTGCAATTTAGAATGATGGTTTTCTATTTTAATATACTTTAAAATTTAAAGAGCAGGTCATATGGTATTTTAAAGTGTCCTAATATTGTGTTGGAGTCCCCTACAACAGGTTTAAATGCATCTAAGGTCAGAAAACATTGTAATTTTCTCAGAATATACATTTAATATTAGAGTCATTAGACAATGATTTCGAAACGATTCGTTCCAAGCAAATTCAGAGCAAACCACTCCCTTCCATAAGCCTACTCTGCTCTGATTGGTCAGCTGGCCAAGCCTGTTGTGTTTGGCACAGAGAGGAGTCCTTGAGCAAGTTAGCGAGCGCTACGATTGACAAAGCACCTTTACATAAAACAATAATATAGTGCTCCAATCCGTTCTTAATAATGTCATAAAATACAAAAACACTTATGCAAGCGAATCGTGCCCACAGCTAAAGTTTAGCTGCTTAACTGTGAACACTTAAAACAATAATGGTTGATACGTTAGCCGAGGGCTAACGTGACTAACTGATGAAACAATACAGTTTGCAAACAAAATATGTCTACTGTAATGTTTGAAGAACGATAGACAAAAGACGCTCTGTCTTAACTTTTAATCAGAATGCAGAACAGCTGTATCACAGGCACAGCAGCCTAACTTAACTCGCTCGTCTCTCCCACATTAACCCTATAACCAGTGTTGGGAGTAACGCATTACAAAAGTAATATTACAGTAGTATATTACTTTTTGCTGTAACGCAGTAATATAACGCATTACTGATTAAATTTGGGTAATATTATTACTCGTTACAATCTCAGTAATGCAAGTTACAATAACGGAGATGGATTCTACATTTGTGAGATGGACACACTCCTGTTATTTTCAGTTCATCTGAGAAAAGGATAAGAATGCATAGTCAGGTGCAATATGTGCGACACCAAACTCTCAACATGGAGAAATAGCACGAGTAAAACCTGGAAACACCTGGACTGGAGCCACTAACACTAAGCTATTGGAGAGAGCTGCGGGGTCGGAGAAGAGAAAAAAGGCGGCGGACGAGCGCAGACAAGCAACAAAAATTAAGCTTAACTAAAAATAACAAAATCTGTTTTATTAAATCATAGTCTATATATAAAATGAATGAATATGCAAAATATTTGACTTAAATAGCCTAATTAACAGATTAACAAAACGAAAGGAAAAGACTGAGATCGGCTGTGCTGCTGAGTTTGGTTCATAGGCTATTTGTGTGGCGCGACGCTCTACGAAAGTCAACAGAAAGGAAACTGCGATGACAGAAATAAAGTAAACGCATCGCAGTTTTGAATGATCTGTATGACCAAAAATAACAGCGTATTTTTTTTTGTTGTTTGTTTCCGCTGTTCGATCGCGCCGGCGCCTCATGCACACACATACAACATTGCAAACGTTGCAGCCTGTTCATTATCAGAATAAAATGCAGTCAACCAAACATATTGTTACGGGGCTGACGAGACGTGAGACATGCGGATCCATGTGCAAGCTTTATTAAAGCAGAGAGGTCAGAAACACAGGCAGGGTCGAACAATGGCAAACAGGTATATGGCGGGCAAGACACAAGAATAATCCTAGGGCTAGCGAAGGTCAACGAACGGCGAACAGAATCAAAAGGGCAAGACTAAAGGGATAAATCCAGGAAAACAGGCAAAGATCAGAAACCGAGAAAACAGACAAGGCAAGACTATGCTAGGACGCTAACGAGGGCTCTGTAGAGTAGCTATCAAAATGATACACGCTAAACAATACTCGGCAGAGGGAAGGGATCAGAGTGAGTGTTAAATAGTGAGAGTGATATGAAACAGCTGTGTGCAATCAGTGCTGTGTGCAATCAGTGCAATGAATGATGGGATATGTAGTCCGGGGTGATATGCAACAGTGTTTAGTGCGAGAGTCAATGAAAATGGAAAGGGTGACCTCTGATGGCTAGCAGATGGAAGTTCATGGACCGGATACCTAACACATACTGTATAGATACATGTTTAGTTTAAATAGTGCGTAGCCTACTGCGTAGTACAATCCGTGCCGATCAGCCTGAGCTCGGGCCAAACACACATTTGCTCATGTGACGAGGATGTTTTTTAAGTGCGTTAAATAAGCTTGGTTTACATAATAAATAATATTTTAGTATTCAAATACATCACAAATATGAACACATTTAATTGGATTAATGCCCAATGAGAGAGGTAGGCTGCGCGAGAACGCCGTTTGCTTTCAGTTTCGCATTGAATTAGCCTAATTCATTTTGGCTTGTTTAGCAACTTATTTTTCATTCTTGTTTTCTTCTGAAACCGTTCAAAATAGCCTATAGGCTTGGCATTGTGTTTATTGTTTGTACATGATAATATATCGCTTTATTTACCAGTGTTATTTATGAATGTAATCGAAATATGATTTCGTGTATTTTATGCTGTATAGACCTGCCACATTACCCTCCACTGGATGTAGAATGAGCAGCAATAAACTACATTTTGGCATTTTGTAATACTTCTGTGGATGTTTTGGTGAAAGTAACTCAAAAGTAGTGTAACACATTACAATTCAAAGACAGTAATATTGTAATGTAACTAATTACTTTCAAAAGACAGTAACTAGTAATATATAATGTATTACATTTTGGAAGTAACTTGCCCAACTGCCTATAACTGCCGGTGCAGCAAAATAAACAGCAATTTCACAATGATTATAAAGTCTGTGTGCTATACTACGTTCTTTATTATTAAACGAAATAATTATTAGAACAACGTCAGTCTACATTAATCGACACATTCTTAGGAAATAGTGGGTTCACAGCGAATTATCAGAACTACTTCAGTAAGACAGTAATATCGTGTTTTACCTGGAAACCTAAAGCTGCACTAGGTATACATCACATATTAGCACAAAAACTTGATATTTTGAGCACTCAATTGAAAATATACACATAACGTATCAATCGTACTTACAGGTTGTGCTTCAGAGAGCTTGTTAGTCCAAATTAAGAAGACCGAAGAAGCCAACGAAGATAAAAGCCAAGATTAGAGAAGCAGTCCTTGGTAAAATGACATGCACACAACGAAAGGTTCGAGTTGTATTTCTGTGGTATCCTTGAACACAGCGTCTTCTCAACATGATGTAAACACACTAACTAGCGGAAGTGTTTGTGGGCAGGTCAGACTCTGTTCGTATTTCGCGGGCAGGCGGGGATTATGCAAATGTGTTACCCAGTGACCTATACCGGTAACAGGCAAAAGATTCGAATTATTGACGACTCGTTAAGGCGATTCAGAATGGACTCTCTCTTTTGAGAGACAATATCTTTATGTATCATGCACTTTTTTTGATTAACAACTTTGCAGATTGTTTTTATTTAATTAAATGCTGTACTTTTTAACTTTATTCATCAAATAATCCTGAAAAAAGTATTACAGGTTCCAAAAAATATTAAGCAGCTGTTTCCAACAATGATAATAAATCAGCATATTTATTCAGTGGTTTTAAGTGACTCACATGTACAGAGACAGAGAGCTGGTATCTCTCTTGCTTTGGCAGCCGCTTCAGACATGTTGTTCTGATTTATGTAGGTTTACACATTATAACTCATTACAGTACGTCTGGAGACTATAAAAACACACTGCTCAGACTGGCATTCAGCCTGAGGCCACACTAACCTGTCAACCTGTGTGCTGTTATTACAGTTTGGTAACGACTTGAAGATTATGTTCACAATGGAACATTAGCATATGAATTACTGCACAGCATGTACCATATATATGTTTTGCACAAACACATGCACACCCTTATGGTAATACATGGACATTTTGTTACAGTGGAGGGTGTAATATCAGAGTTAACACTGTGTTCTTGGTTCAAAAACACACATTCACATACTCTTTCTCACACACACCTGACCTTCAGCCAGACACTGTGTTCTAATCCTGCCAGGAACCTGTAAATCTGCTTCATTAAAGGAGGATTGTTCTCTCATCCCATCAGTGCAGCACGACCCTTAATGACCCTCACACACATTAACATAACACCGAGTCTCTCAGACTTTGCCTTTCTCTTTACCTTCACTCTCACTGTCTGTGATATATGACTTCCTCATCTCTTTCTTTTACACATACAGTAGAACAGTGGTTCTCAACCTTTTTGACTTCTCACAATATCCATAATGTTCATATTTCCACATTGGTCATTCAAAGCTACTGTATGTGATGTTAGATGCTCTGGAACTTTCACCAGACTTGAATTCCAATTTCCTATTCTAATTTCAGCCACCCAATTAGACATGCAACCTTTTTTCTACAATCCAACACATATTCTGTTCAATTCTATATTTAGGGATGGATCAGGAGAGCAGCAGCACGCCATCTCAGTCTTGTCAAAAGTAGTTAAAGGGGTCATTTGATGGTGCTAAAAAGAACATTATTTTGTGTATTTGGTGTAATGAAATTTGTTTAAGCGGTATAAGGTTAAAAAACATTATTTTCCACATACTGTACATTATTGTTTCTCCTCTATGCCCCGCCTTTCTGAAACGCATCGATTTTTACAAAGCTCTTCGGTCTGAAAAAGCGAGGTGTGCTTTGATTGGCCAGCTATCAAGTGCGTTGTGATTGGCCGAATTCCTCAAGCGTGTGACGGAAATGTTACGTCCCTTACCATATTGTGATGCCTGCGGCAACCACATGTGGTGACCCCAGGCTGGACTCCACTTCGTCCACGGTGAAAGCTGATCTGGCGATCGACAGTGCGAAGTTGAAGTATTTCCTCAGCGACCAGCACGGATCAGCTCCAGGCATGACGTAGCGGTATCGTCCTCTTTTGGAAGGCTAAACAAAGTAGTTTCGCTTTCACAACGGCGGTGGCGGCAACAATACTACAGCGTGAATAAAAGTTACGCCTTCTTTCTTTGCGTGAACATTTGGGCGCGTTATGCAAATCTTCCCACATAGTGACATAGGTATGTGGGGACGTGTTAGAATGAGCCGTTTTAGGTAGGCGTGGCTGACTCTTAACTTTTATAAAGAATATCTCTTTGATTTTGAGACTCTAGTCTTTGCAACTTTACAGATCTTCTTTATGCACCAAGAGCTTGTAACACTCCAAAGAGAAAGGAAAAATTGAAATCGCATCATATGACCCCTTTAAAATAAGTTGCAAAACAGCAACATCAAATTAAAATTGATTCTGTAATTTTGGACCCAGCCCACAAATGTAACTAGACTGTGCTGTGTAATTGATCTTGTTTTCAAGAGGCCTATTTTTTGCCCTGTTTAAAATCTCTAGCCCAGTCTGACTCTCAGTGCTTTGCTCGTCTCTCTTTCAGGAGTTGGAAAATTTGTTTGTGGTCCTCTCTGCGCTGCTGCACTTGGGAGACGTGCGCTTCACCGCCCTGACCGACGCTGACACTGCATTTGTGTCTGACTTACAGCTGCTAGATAGAGGTCAGTCGTGCAGCTGCAGCATGAGGCCAGCAGGGGTCGATCTCCACCACAAGAAGGTCTGAAGGATAGACTGGGGAAGTGGGCGGGTGACTACGCAGCAAGAACTGTGTCACACACCATCCTGGGTTGTTTACATCAGTTCTACCGTGGCCTAATAGCAGAATCACTCGCTACGCAATGGAAAACTCTCTCTGCTACACACATACACACTCTTTCATACAATTTTGTGCTAATTGCTCTTTTTAGCCACACACATGCACAGGGTCACCTGTTTCCTTAAGCTCTGAAGAGCAGTGGGGCAGAACAGAAAGGCCACTCGCTGCTCTCCGCGTTACATAATGACACACATAATACTGTGCCTGGGTAAACAAGTGACGTCAGCACACGCAAATACACAAACTGATACATTCACATCCGTATGAGGTTCCCGTCGTTGTGGATACGGGAGATAAACACACTCAAATTAATGACAGTACACTAGGTGCCAAATGCAAACAGTAATATAAATGCATAATAGGAAGTAAATGGGAGGCCTGGACTCATAGTTGAAAGCAGGACTGTGTATGTGTTAAAACATGTGTTGACTCTGAAATCTGATTGGATGAGCCACGTTTAAACCCTTTGTTAAATGGTCAGTGTGCCATTTACATACAGTAATGTGATCTTGTAGAGTTTCATAAGTATTTGTGATTGTAATTATTTTTTTGAATTATTTTACAGCATCATGTTTGGAGTAAAAATATATATATATATATATATATATATATAAGATGTGTGTGGTTACCAAGGCTGCATTTATTTGATCAAAAATACAGTAAAAATCAGTAATATTGTAAAATATTATTTCAATTTCAAATAGCTGTTTTCTATTTGAATATATTGTAAAATGTAAATTATTCCTGTAATGTAAAGCAACATTTTCAGCATCATTACTCCAGTCTTCAGTGTCACATGATCCTTCAAAAATCATTCTAATATGCTGATTTGCTGCTCAAGGAACATTTATTATTGTTTTATTTTGTTATATGTTGTTATTATTGTTATTCTGTTTTTTTATTATAATCTTATATCATTATTATGCTGAAAACATTCATTATGTTTAATATATTTGTGGAAACTGTGAAAAATTACTGACCCCGCATTTTTTAGTGGTAGTGTAATAATTATAAATAATATATCCAAAAAAAAAAAACATTTTATTTTATTTTATTTGCACCAGCAAATTTCTGTTGGATTCAGTGCATAGTTTGAGATTTCAGTGCATACAGTAGTTTTAGGTTTAGATTTCAAAAGACATATTGTATATGGTTTCATTTTTCCCAATGGCAAAACCAAGCATTTGGGGGCTTCTGAGCTTTTATTTTATTTTGTTTAATTTCATTTTATTTAGTTTTGACTTTAAACATGGCTCATCCAATCAGAATTTAGATTTGTAACTGTTTGTACTCATATAAATGTGTCTGAATGTGTTTTTTTTTTCTGCAGTGGCTGGGATGTTGCAGGTGAGCTCTGAAGATCTAGGCTCTGCCCTCACCTCTGATGTGCAGTGTTTCAAAGGTACAACCTTCAGTTTACACTTAACCAGCATCAACCAACACATAGACTAAACACGGTCAATTAAAGGATTAGTTCACTTCCAGAATATAAATTTCCTGATAATTTACTCACCCCCATATCATCCAATATGTTCATGTATTTCTGTCTTCAGTTGCAAAGAAATTAATGTCTTTGAGGAAAACGTTCCAAGATTTTTCTCCATATAATGGACTTCAATGGTGGCCAACAGTTTGAAGGTCCAGATTGCAGTTTCAGTGCAGCTTCAGATGGCTCTACACGATCCCAGCCGAGGAATAGGGGTCTTATCTAGCGAAAACGATTGGTCATTTTCTAACAAAAAAAAAATGCATGCACTTTTTAACCACAAATGCACGTCTTGCACAGTTGCACTAGCTCTGCGATGCACGTCCGCAAATTAATGCATTACGTAATCACATTGGAAAGGTCATGCTAGGTTAGCTTTTCGCCTGTGTATTCCAGTTCAATTTCTGTCTTCAGTTGCAAAGAAATTTATGTCTTTGAGGAAAACGTTCCAAGATTTTTCTCCATATAATGGACTTCAATGGTGGCCAACAGTTTGAAGGTCCAGATTGCAGTTTCAGTGCAGCTTCAGATGGCTCTACACGATCCCAGCCGAGGAATAGGGGTCTTATCTAGCGAAAACGATTGGTCATTTTCTAACAAAAAAAAAAATGCATGCACTTTTTTACCACAAATGCACGTCTTGCACAGTTGCACTAGCTCTGCGATGCACGTCCGCAAATTAATGCATTACGTAATCACATTGGAAAGGTCATGCTAGGTTAGCTTTTCGCCTGTGTATTCCAGTTCAAAAAGGTAGGGTTTGGCGAAAAACTCCATCTTATTTTCTCCTCCAACTTCAAAATAGTAGAAAGAAAGACATGAACATCTTGGATGACATGTGGGTGAGTAAATGATCAGGAAATGTTAATTCTGGAAGTGAACTAATCCTTTAAAGTCAGCTTGCTTAGGATAAAACCATACATGGAGTAGATCTCACTGCCGGGAGGCCTGCTGACACCGGTCATTGAGATGTACTGGCCTTTGCTCGGTGATAAACTCATCAATGAATGTGGCCTCAAGCGTTTGGCCTTGGATTGTGTTACTGGCGAGCCCAATTTGGCTCAATTTGACACAATTGGATAACTGCCTTCTCATTCAAAATACACAGACATAAACACGTAGTTCTTTTGTGAGGTCTAGACTGTGTGCATGTTGTATGAATCACATGATGTCTAGATGTTAACCTAATTCAGCCATCGAGGACACACCGACCTATTGCCTAAAATTATAAGCACACTTGGCATTGTCTTGTGTCTGTCTGTGATTTGTCTCTCTCTGTCCCCTTCGCTTTGTCATGCATCTATGCCTCCCTTTTAGAGGGATAGTTCACCCAAAAAGCTAAATTCTTATATCATTTAATCTCCAAAACAATGCATTGGAGTAATATAAAACTGGTCCATATCACTGGTGCGCTATATTCCAAGTCTTCTGAACCTATATATTTGCTTTGCATGATAAAAAAGATCAACATTTTAATGATCTATATTGTCTTAAATTCTTGACATAAGTCCTAGCTCTAGAATTCATGAACACAATTAGCCGATTATTTTGAGTCAGATCTTTTCAGTGAATCAGTTGGTCCAAGTAATTTCAAGAAAGTCATACAGCTTTGAAAAGACATGTGGGAGAGAAAATCTTAAAAGTTTAAATTTTTGGGTGAATTAATCTTATGATGATTTGTTGTTTTGATTATTGTATTCCTTAAACAAGTAAACAATTGAAAGTAATGCCATGCTTTTGTGCGATTGTGTAGTGTAATATATGCAGAAGATGCATTAATCTCCGGTATGCGGCAATCACAGGGCACTGACTGATGGTCAGACTTTGGCAATGTGTGCATCTGGATGTTGACGCACTGTGGCTGGCCATGAATGGCATTGCGAATGTGGTGATTCAGTGTCTGACATCATCAAAGGTCACATCATCAGAGTCCGGGCGCTGTGTGTCCTCCACATTAGCATGTGCCATGTCCTCTCAGCCAGCACCACCAACAATGGGCCGCTTGTTTTTCAGCTACCCACATGTGGCGTATATCAGTCAAAATGTGACACACTGTCTCCAGTTTGTTTTCCTCTTTGCTCTGTTCCCCTGTTGTTTTGAGCAGTCACTGGCTGTTAAAAGATCAGCTTGCATTTAGATACTGATCCTGCTATGCTGGTTAATGCTGATTCAGTGATGGTCTAGCGATGGGACAGCAAAACAACCAGTGTGGTCTTTTTGATGAAGCTGGTTGACATTGCTGGTTAAAGAAAGGGGTCATATGATGTTGCTAAAAAGAACATTATTTTGTGTATTTGGTGTAATGAAATGTGTTTATCATCACACTCGGCGGGCTAGAGTGAGTGGAGGCCGGCTTGAGTGAGCGGCGGCGGGGGGGCTTGAGAACGGCGCAGCCGACGGATTCGACGAAGGAGCGTCCGGCGGGCTGGCGGCAACCACATGTGGCGACCCCGGGCTGGACTCCGCTTCGTCCACGGTGAAAGTCGATCCGGCGATCCACAGCGTGAAGTTGATGTATTTCCTCAGCGACCAGCACGGATCAGCTCCAGGCATGACAAAGCGGATATCATCCTCTTTTGGAAGGCCAAACGAAGTAGTTGCGCTTTCACAAAGAAACGCACAGCGCCTTCACGACATGGCAGCAGCGGCAACAACAATACTATAGCGAGAATAAAAGTTACGCCTTCTTTCTTTGCGTGAACATTTGGGCGGCGTTATGCAAATCTTCCCACATCGTGACGTAGACATGTGGGGGCGTGTTAGAACGAGCCGTTTTAGGTAGGCGTGGCTGACTCTTAACTTTTATAAAGAATATCTCTTTGGATTTGAGACTTTAGTCTTTGCAACTTTACAGATCTTCTTTATGCAACAAGAGCTTGTAACACTCCAAATAGTGACCCCTTTAAAGAATTAATTCGCCACAAAAATGAAAACTAAACGCTAAACTTCTTCTGATGGATTCAATCTTGTATGACTTACTTTCTGCTTTGGAACACAAAGTTGTTTAGGAGAGTATTCATGCTGCTCTTTCCATATCCCAAAATTGATAGTGACCATGGCTGTTGAGTTAAAAAAATTACAAAGTTATTATTTAACGTTAGACAAACAGATAGACAGACACCGATTTGATTTGATACCGATTAATCAGAATGACATCTGCTGATATGGATAGTTTGGGTTTTTAAGGGGAAAAAAAAATCTCTCCCTGCTAATGCGATAAACTATACGTGGTACATTACTATACATATTAGAGGTTCAAATTAACAACAGAACTCAAACTATTATATTCAATTGTAATTTACTTATTTTCAGATATGATAATCGCACTGAAATAAAAACAGACGTGGTTGTGTTTAACTCAGTTCCACATGTCATCTTCATGTCAGATTAATTCTAACATACGTGTATAACTGACAGTAACCTAACAAACTGTGAACACTGAAACTACCTTTCCTGAGGTAAATGTTAAGTCACATTGTTCACAAGCTATTTTATTGACGCTGCTGCTTGAACGACAGTGATCTGTCGCACCACATTTAAAAGCGTCAAAGCGACATTTATTGTTTGAATTGAGAGCTGAGACTTTGTTTTGTTTCGGAAGTAACAAAGCACAAAGTTCTTTGGGATTATTGGAAAGGAGGCGCTTTGCAAATAATGTTTAGTGAATGGAAAATCCACAGACCTGGCAACCCTGGCTTGAACGGTCAAAGAGAACCTGCGTTAACTGCTCTGTTTATATTTTTAACTGTGTTAAAGTGAGGTTGTGCTAACTTTGACAGCCCTAAATTCTACACCAGAGACATTTTATTTACACATTGCATGCACCCTTTTGATCGACAAGATATAATTGTCCCTGATCATCAACTGTTCTTAAACGATCAGCTTATGTCTGATGTGCAGATAATTGCTTTTATCGTTCGATTTCGATTATTGGCTGATACATCGGTGCATTCCTAATATATACATATAGATAGTGGTGACCACCATCCGAAACACATGTATGACCACCTATGCTAGTCTTTGAGGATGGAAGACAATGTGAAAGGTCACTAACTGCTTGACATTTGCCCTTTGCTTCAGGTGATGTCATAACAAGGCGCCACACCGTTGAAATGTCCAACCATCACAGAGATCTCTTGGCGAAAGCTCTGTACGGACGACTCTTCAGCTTCTTGGTCAATAACATTAACTTTTACCTCCAAGGCCATGAAGAAAGCACTGGGTAAGATGCATGTATGTGTGTGAGCGTGCACGTGAGCTTAGATTAATGCTTTTATATGGATACGTTTTCCTTTGTGCATGTGAACGTGTCTGAGTGTGAATGAGAGACCTGAATAAAGGAGATCGTTATTGAAAGAACTTAGTTCCTTCATTGTTCCAAAGTGCATTTCAGTGTACATAAAATGTCATTGATGGTTACCAGCTATTGATCTGTATGGATTGTGTGTCTCAGCAACTCACCGAACATATTCAGCTGTTACTAGTAGAAGCATGAACCAAGTCCTTCTCAGAGACCTTCTGTGATAAACATTAGTCAAAACACAGAAATGTTTTTTAATAATTCACATAGTGTATGTGAGACATCTGCCATAAAGCGCCTGCGGGTAAGTTGACAGAGCCAGTAGTGACTGAGCAGGAAGACACACCTCCTCTGCTGTTATTGCATTATGAGAAGGGTATCTCGCGGTTAAAACTGAAATTTCCATGGAAATCCAAGTATGTGTATTCACACACAAACAAGTCACAGTGACTTCATTCCACACGATTTCACATGCCTCACTATCCGCCAAAAAAAACATAATTAACTTATATTCACCTTTGAAGACATACAAATGTGCACTTCAACAAACAATTATAAACTCGCAGCTTCTCTAATGGCTGTATGCTGTAAATACTTTAAAAATATTGCTGTTTTACTGACTCTAAACTTTTGAATGGCTGTGTGTGTGTGTGTGTGTGTGTGTGTGTGTGTGTGTGTGTGTGTGTGTGTGTGTGTGTGTGTGTGTGATATATATA